CCACAAGTGGTTACAGCCCGGCCAACGTGTACAACATGGACGAGACGGCCTACTTCTACTGCTTGTCACCTCATCGTTCCATCACTCGACAGCGTGTTCCCGGCACGAAGAAGTCAAAAAAAAGGATCACCATGGCACTCACCACAAATGCAGACGGCTCCGACGTTGTTGACCCAATGTTCATCGGCAAATCCGTGCAGCCACGGTGCTTTCAAGGCCGGTCTTCTAGCGACCTTGGTTTTAACTACCAAGCAACCAAAAAGGCATGGATGACATCCGAAGTCTTTCAAACTTACCTCAAGACCATGAACGATCGCATGGTCGCCGAAGGCCGGAAGATTTTGCTGCTTGTTGACAACGCTCTCTGCCACGACCCCACTGCTGCTGATGATCTGTCAAATGTTGATTTGAGGATGCTCCCAAAGAATACAACCGCTTACCTGCAGCCTCAGGACGCAGGGATCATTGCGTCGTTCAAGGCAAGCATCAAAAAGCGTCAGCTGAAGAACGCCTTGGACCAGATTGACTCAGTCATGGCTGGTCGCCAAGACAAGCTCTACGAAGTTTCGTTAGTAGTAGCAATGGAGTGGGCGAAGGACGCTTGGCGCTCTGTGGCACCATCGACAGTGGTGAACTGTTGGCGACGTACCGGAATCCTTGACAATGACTTGGCTGCGTTCAGCGAGCGAATGGCTCAGGTTCAATTGCAGTGACGAAAGGTTCTGTAAAAACGAATAACCTTTTGAGTTTATGAACTGTGAGAGTTTTTATTTTTATTTGTGTCCAAGTCGGGGGGAGATCAGTATAACAAGATCACACACATATTACACGTATGTATTAAAACTCATAATTGAGGGAATTGACTTTTCAAACGCACGCTTCACAGTCTCCGGACTAATCTTATCCCACACACGAATAGTTCGCTTGATAATTGCCATGCGCTTCTCGGCAAGAGTTAATTCATCACCACTTCCTTCATCATCTTCCATCAGTCACGCAGACTTTAACATCGCCTTCAACGGGCCCATAACACCCACGTCAAGGGGTTGGCATCGACTTGTCGAATTTTTTGATAAAGGTTCAATGACACTACATAGCGACCCTGCCATTTTGTCGTGTGCCTTTTCACACACATGATATTCCAGATTGTCAACCAACAGTACCGACGCATCGATGAGATGGTCGGCCAATTCGTTGAGGTACATCAAACACTCGCTCGTCCATCCACGCATTTTCTTGCACAGCGTACCAATGCCCATCAGGGTAGGTGCGGAGTTCCCGCTTCTCAATCGTCCCACCCTGCTGTCCACGGACAATGAACATAATCGGTAGTTTAACACCTATAGTCACGTTAGATTCCTTGCATTGACAAATACAGCATACCGTCCGCCCGAATCGTCAACAGCGCTGTCAATCGTTCCGAATGCTTTTCGGTCTTGTCGACTTTGCTCGACTTCCCAATTTCAGCCAAGGTTGTTCCAGGGGGCATGTGAAAGTAAAGTCCAGTCTCGTCAGCGTTGTAGATTGTTGACTTCGCGTAGGAAGCATACTTGGAGTGGAAGTGTGCTGTGTACCCCAACCACACGGCGTCCAGTACAGATTGCGTGAGCTTTATGACGCATGGCTTTCGGTGAGTGAAACGATGTCGTGCGCTAAATCGTAGAAAAAGGCAACGAAGAGATTCAAAGCGAATCTCTTCGTTTCTTTTCGCTTCGATGTAGGACATGAGCCAAGGCTTGTGGTTGCGTCGGACCCACTGCATCATGTGGAAGACTCGTACATGCTTGTTGTTGTCGCGTTGCTCGCGCATGTAGGCGAGGAGAGGTTCCGTGAATGGGATGGTGGGTTTGCGGCCTTGACCCCCCAAGGTTGCTTTGCGGCCATTTCGCTGACTTGCCATAATATCGGACTCCTTGCGACGCCACCCTTGCCAAGTCGAATACTTGAGTCCAATGTCGCGACAAAACTATCGCTCATTGTCGATGCCAGAGGCGTGGGCGATGGCTGCCTTGCGATCACTATTCACGTATCGATGCTGCTGCACCTTCACTTTGAAGGGCATTTTGGGCTTTGATGTTCAAACTTGATATTTGATTTTCATCCGTTGTGTGATCGCTTCATTTCAAATCGTAATCAGAAAGGCTTCATTAAAAAAAACCATGAATTTTAACGAATCAAAGTTGGTTTTCCACTTCAAGAAAGTACAAATCTATTTTATTGCAAAGTCCAACTCTGACTGACTGCGTTTTTTCGCCGAGCACTGTAGGGAACGACGCTGAGTAACGGTGCGGGAATAAATTTTCAAATCAGCCAATAATAATCATCGATATCGTTACCTCGACTTTGATTGGCGGTATTTTTCCCGGCACAATTTAAACAACTTTCAACCCCATTACTTGATAACCTTGAATGTCAGTGCTAGCTGCAGCCACAATGCTGCCAACGAAGCCTTGACACTGACCGAAGCTCACCCAAAAGCTCGATGTCGTACGACTGTTCGACATGCAGCTGTAATGACCGGCTAACTCGGGACCAATTGACATGACCAGTACCCTTATTTTGCACAAGTTTTCAATACGGACATACCGGAATTCGTGGAGGGCATTGTGCGGGTCCCTATCCGTCTGTTCAAGGGGGATAATGGGGGGGAGTTGTGTATTCTATGGCGTGTAGTTCCATTGACCCATACCGTATACTTTTTTTCTTTACTTGAATAGAGTATTAAATTATAGTATTTTTATAAGCGGACATGTCACACTTTGTTGGTCCCCATGGGGAGTGCAAATCCACAGTCCATGTGTCACAGTGATGTAATGCAATATGTGTAATAGGCATTTTTATGACTTTGATCCTTGTGATAATTAGTTTCCTGCAAGGGTGAGGTCTTGAAAATCATGGCATCGATGTCTTCCTGTACTAATTACTCTTTATATTCATATCCTTTGTAATCTTATAGTCCAAGCTCATTTTTTTCATTCGATACTATTTTTGTATTTTGGTTTTGTGAGCCTCAATTGGCCAATTCGAACCGCCTCTCTGTCCAATCAAGGTTTTGTTGGTAGCATGATGCCTTCATGCCACACAGCTTGCCGTACGCTTTTGGTTGCGTTGGACACTAAGGCGTTGTTCGGAGAAAAATGGATTCTCTCCAGAATCCGGATTATGATAATCTAGGTTTTTGAATGCGGATTCTGTCAAAAAGTTGCACCGAACACGATCGGAACGCGACATTTTAGAATCCACCAAATGCAGAAAATTCACAAGAACAATGTATTGTATTGGCCATACCTGGACATTGGATCTATATCATTGGTTTTGCTTCTTTTAATTGGCTCCACTATACAGTAATGGAGTTTTTAGGCATTTGACAGTCAGATAAAACGAAATACAATGTGCTATTTTGAATTATTCAAGCATTCTGACCGAAATGTTGCAGCACGTCATGCACGAAAATAGGCCATGTCGACGCTTTCTTGGCGGCGATCACGCCGGGTTTACAGAATACGACGCGTTCCGCTGCAAGCTTAGTGCACGAATGTAGGGTGATCATTGACGAAGATGTACATGTCATTACATATCATATACTTTACTGGAGGGCAAGATATCCGCTTCATAACTCATGGTCCATTCGATGTTGTAGTGACCTCGTAAGGGTTTTTGACGAACACTTTGAGTTATGCAAGGATTTGATACAAGTAACTTGGTACTAACTTGTACAAGGATGAGATACATATAACTGCGTGTATCTAAGTTAACCTAGCTTTTGTCAGTTGCATACACATCAGTTTTTGCCCCGGCGAGTGTGGAGCCTATTCTGCGCTGCAGGAATATAAGTCATCTCCCACGAAGATGAGTGCGGTCATACCTGTCTTAACTGGTTAAATACTTAGCGAAGAAGGACCATGCGATGGAAAACTTGGTCACATATGGTCACGACTGCGACAGTCCTTCTATCACTGTCAGTACTCGGAGAATAGATTAACACCCCGAAACCCCGCAAACCCGAGTATATTACAGTAATACTTCGAAGTACAAATTATTCCTGAAAAGCAGAATACCACCAATCAGTCCCTCCAAGAATCTGGATTCTTGCACAATAATCCGGTTTATATTTTTGTCAATCAAACACAAAAAATCGGATTCCAGAGTCTGAATCCACGAAATAACCGGATTCTTGGTGCGTCCTCAAGGTCATTGTAAGAGCATCTCCACAGTAAATTGGCCAATCAGTAAATCTGTGTGCTGATTTAGTATTGTAATGGACCGATCATTAGAGACTTTTTGCAAGTCATAAATTCGCACCGCAAAAAGCCCAACTCCAGCCAGTAAATTCACCATCGTTCGACCAGACTGAGTGGAAACCCGCGTTAATTTCGACAATGAGGTATGCTTATCTCTAGGAATGGCACGCAATGATGCGCAACATGCATACATATGTACAAAGTTATCCTTATCACCAGGAATGGCATCAACTGTAGTTTCTCGTGAACTCGTAAACGGAGTACGGTCATATACAGACATAATAGGCATCTGCCAGCTCGATAGGACCCGCGTTATTGACCTTGGTAATGCAGCAGTCAATGGCGCGGGTCCTGTCGAGTTGTAGTCGATGACATGGGACCTGCAACATTAACAACACGGCTACCGGCCGCGAAGACATACCCACCGACTGCCGCACGACTCTCGCCAACGCGGCAAGCCATGAAACTTCGACCGGCGCAAGACAGACACCGCCAACCACGGCAGGATCGGCCTCGGACCGGCGCAAACAAGCAATCGGTCGCATTCGCCTGCGCTCGATGCTGCCGCCTAACAGTAAACTTATCACGGCATCACGGCAGCATCGACCGTAGTCGAATGCGCTATCGGCCGCAACTGACCTACGCCGCAAGAGTCATCACCACATAAGTCATAAGCTATTGACTGCGGCATACATACCGTGCCAGGGCCGCCATAACTGCACCTCGACCTATGCCGTAACCGACCCTGAGGCTTCGCTGCTCCGTGTTTATGCACCGATGTCTCTATCCGGCCACTATAACCGGATACTGATTCCAGCAAATCCAGTACAAGTCCATCAAATCTGTGTGACTTTTACTGGAATATTTGCTGGTCAGCAAAATACTGAACCGGATACTGGTGCGGTTCGAAAATATTTCAGTAAATTTTCAGTAGAGGTTGTTATCCGAACACTATGCGGATATTGGTGTGTCCATTTACTGGAATGCGGTGGAGATGCTCTGAAGTACAGTAATAGTTGGAAATAGAATTACTTTTCCATAGACAACAGTATGAAACAGTGTGGTTGATTGGCATTCATTGTTGACGCGAATCAATTTTGGAAACGACACAGGGAAGCTAGCCCGACGAATGATATAACGATGGAACAATGAGGTGATTAGCATGACGTGGTGCTGTCCTGAGTCAGCTCAACAACGTACGCAATCGAGAGCTTGGTGAAATCGGCCATATGGTTAAAATCGATGGTGGCGATCGTGTCGTTTTGGGAGTGCATGTATGGGTTTTTGTCCTTCAACTCGGTTTCAAACGGATACGATGAGGGGTACCCCGTCACGTTCCACGCGAAATGGTCCGAGCAGTAGTAGCCGCACACTGAACGGGACACGGGGAGGCCCACGTAGGTCGCGATGAGCATCTCCAAGAACGTGTTGAGGTTCTCGTTGATGAAGTCGGAGATCAAATTCACGACGGGGGTCGTGCCAGGGCGGACGTAACCCGTCATGTCCTGCTGCATCTGGGCGTACACGGATGTGTTGGCCTTCGCATACTCCGCCGCCACTGCCCTGGACCCGCGCAGCTTAACTT